ACCGAATATTAGTAGTAGAGGGTGCTAGCGGTTAGTGTGTTGGTGAAGATAATAATGATGGTAGTGGTAAATGAGGCTTTTTTCTAAGTATAAGTAGCTATATCACAATTGTCCTTAATATTGTTGTTACTATGTATTGTGTATGTTTAATAGTGGTAGTAGAAGTGGCATTAAGTAGTTAGTTGGTTAAAATAGAGTAGTGGCAAGTTGAGGTTTCTTTATTTTGTTGATAAATATGTTCTAGCCTGTTTTTACTAATACATACATATGTATATACATATGCATCTATATATGTTAGCAGTGAATCAGTGTAGTAAGTTGCATGTTTATGCAGGCTGAATTCCTTTTTAATGTGAATATGTGGGTGTATGTGCTGTATGTATGTGTTTGATTGTATGCTTGCAACATATATTTTTCTTTTTCGTTTCATTATATAAGTATATTTTATATTCACTAAGTAAATGCAGTTGATAAGCATTTTAAATGTAATACATTAAGTGCCTTTAAACATTTACCCAGCTTTAACCATATCTGTAGATATATATGTATGTTTGTATGTATGTATATGTAGGCATGTGTAGCATATATCCACTAGCTGTGGCACTAGTGTAGCAGCTATGTGGCATCAGCCAACTCAGACACCAGTAACATTTGGTGAATGCTTTTGGTTTTTGGCTTGTTAAGAAAAATTAAAAAAAAAAAAACGACAACGAACGAAAAAAAAAATATTTGTTGAAAATAAAATTAAAAAAGAATTTAAATGAAAAAATAATTCAACTCTAAGAGTAAATTTACAAATATGTATATAACAAGTATGTAAAGAATAACCCAACTGCTTCAAAAGGAGTCAATATTACCCCTTTAGAAAGTAAATTTCGAAATTTCTAATTAGTACTTTTTGGGAATACTGGAATCTACGAACACTTTACAATAGAGAGAGAGAGAGAGAGAGAGAAAATCCATTGTTACTTGAGTGCACTTAAGTATGCCAGACAATCACAACTTAAATGGCTCTATGTAAACTCGAGGGAAATCACTTTAAACATTGTTCTATATACTGTATTATAGAAAGTAGTTATTTAACACACCCAAGGTAATCTGTAACAGAGTCAACGGTTTATCAGTTATCGAAACGAATAGTCAGTTTATTCAATAGTCTCCTATGAACTTCAGGTATAATATACATGTATGTAGTTGCCATTGTCCTGTTCTCCTATATATGTATGTGGTTTTATATGAGTATATCTGTATGTAAGCAAAACATTTTTCATTTTTATTTAAGTTGAAAGGATAAAAATTAATTAAGCAGGTGAAAAGTACATAATAGTGTAACATTATGTAAAACAAATTTTGTGGTAAATGAGAAGTAAACTGTATAAACCATTTACTGACATCATTTTATACACATACATATAAAGATTATTTAAAGGTAGTTACTCTATAAATATATTTACTGTCATGCTTGAGCATATGAACACATACATGCATATGTACATAAGTATAACATATCGTTAAAATGAGCATAATAACTAATTTATGGTCTAGTCTATGATCTAGTCTATTGACTAGTCTATGGAATTGTTAATTGATTAGTTAATTGGCTAGTTTATGGACTAGTCAAAGGACTATTCTATGGACTACTCTATTGATTGTTCTATGGACTATTCTATGAACTAGTCTATTGATTCCTCTATGGCCTAGTCTATTGACTAGTATATGAACTAGTCTCATGACTATTCTATTGACTAATCTATTAACTATGCTATTCTATTGACTAGTCTTTTGACTAGTCTATTGACTAGCCTATGTACTATTCTATTGACAATTATATTAACTAGTATATTAACTATCCATTGGACTAGTCTCTTGACTATTCTAGTTTATTGCTAGTCTATGGACTTGTCTAAGGATTAGTCTATTGACTATTCTATGGACTACTCTATTGACTATTCTATCGACTAGTATATGGACTAGTCGCCAGGTTATTCAATTGACTAGTGTACTAACTATTCTATTGACTAGTCTATTGACTAATCTATTGACTATTCTATGGACAACTCTATTGGTTGTTCTATGGTCTATTCTATGGACTAGTCTTTTGACTAGTCTATTCACTAACCTATTAACTATGTTATTAACTATTCTATTGACTAGTCTACTGACTAGTCTTTTGACTAGTCTATTAACTAGTCTATTGACTAGCCTATGGACTATTCTATTAACTATCCTAGGGACTAGTCTATTGACTGGCCTATTGACTATTCCAGTCTATTGATATTATATTGACTAGTCTATTGCTAGTCTATGGACTAGTCTAAGGATTAGACTATAGACTATACTGTGGACTTGTCTATTGACTAATCTATTGACTATTCTATGGACTACTCTATTGGCTGTTCTATGGTCTATTCTATGGACTAGTCTTTTGACTAGTCTATTCACTAACCTATTAACTATGTTATTAACTATTCTATTGACTAGTCTTTTGACTAGTCTATTAACTAGTCTATTGACTAGCCTATGGACTATTCTATTAACTATCCTAGGGACTAGTCTATTGACTGGCCTATTGACTATTCTAGTCTATTGATATTATATTGACTAGTCTTTTGCTAGTCTATGGACTAGTCTAAGGATTAGACTATAGACTATACTGTGGACTTGTCTATTGACTAATCTATTGACTATTCTATGGACTACTCTATTGGCTGTTCTATGGTCTATTCTATGGACTAGTCTTTTGACTAGTCTATTCACTAACCTATTAACTATGTTATTAACTATTCTATTGACTATTCTATTGAATAGTCTGTTGACTAGTCTATTAACTAGTCTATTTAATGGTCTATGGACTGGTCAATTGACTAGTCTGTTGACTACTCTATTGACTAGTCTATTAACTACTCTATTGATTAGTCTATTGACTAGTCCTTGGACTAGACTGTTCACTGGTCTATTGATTATTCGATTGACTTGTTCATTGGCTAATCTAAGGACTAGTCTCTTGACTATTCTATAGACAATGCTATTGACTTGTTTATTGACTAATCTAAGGACTAGTCTCTTGAATATTCTGTCGACTTGTCTATTGACTGTTCTATTAACTATTCTATTGACTATTCTATAAACTAGTATATTTACTGGTTTATTGACTTGTCTATGAACTAGTCTATAGACTGGTCTAGTGACAAGTCTATTGGCTAGCTAATTAACTAGTCTATTTACTAGTCTATTAACTAACCTATTTACTAGTCTATTAACTAGTCTATAGACTAGTCTATGGACTAGTCTATGGACTAGTCTATTGGCTATTCTATGAACAAGTCAATTCATTAGTCTATTGACTATTCTATGGACTAGACTATTGACTAGTCTATGGACCAGTCTATGGTCTTGTCTATGGACTAGTATATTGACAAGGCTAAGGACTATTCTAAAGTAATAAGGTGAGGTTGAGAGGGGGATGAGTAAATACACCTAGCCCACTATTGGGCCTGTTCTATGCAAACTACTTAGGTACATGTCTATGTTTTCAAACTGACCTCTTATAATTAGCAATTCCGTAAAGTGTGAAGAAAATTTTGTACTTCAAAAAATTTATCAACATTTAGGTCCCCATTCACAAACATTTATGAAAGTTTTCTATGAAAATATGTTCAATAAACTTTTGTTAAATGACTAAGAATAAATCTTTTATAAAGATTATATAAATACATACCGAAATATGACAATTATTTAAAGCATTTTTATAACATTTTTATAACATATAAAAATATTAATATTAAATAACAATAAATTCTTAAATAAATGCATTACTAGTAACAGCATATTTCTTTTAAAATATGAAAAAAAATATACATATAGAAACCACAAAAAAAAAGAAAAAACCTAGATAAAAACAATACAGTAAAAGAATTTATATCTCTAACCATTTTGAAATCCTTTTTACAATTTTTGACTTCATAAAATTGCATTTATATATTTCCTTCCGTTATGCAGCCAAAAAAACGACAACAACAACAAAAAAGAAATGTTAAAACACAAAAACAACAACAAAACCTATATATAAAATCTTAGCAAATCTTCAACTCTAACATTTGAACAATAATGTCTTATAAAGAAATATATGTATATACTCATATGATAATATAGATATACATATACTGGATGTACCCATTTTAACAATACCCTACTCTACATACCAACAAAAACTCTTGCTTACAAATGAAAAAATACATAAAATATTTTTGTCATATGCACACCACACTCATACTAAACTGAATACTTTTTTTTCCTATGTATTGCAAGTGGGTTAAATAAAAACATAAAAAATAAATGAAAAACAAAAAAACAGAAACAGAAAGAATAAATATAATAAAAATGCTGGTTGCAGTAGTGTTTATACTGTTCATACTAGAAGAAATTTTATATCCTCAATTTAAAATAATGCCGGAAAATTTTCTAAACTCAGCATTTCCTACAGACACAACCAAAAATGCAACGTCAAAGAGCTAAAAAGGACACTTACAGACTCATGCACTTAGAAATGCACACACTCTTACTTCATCTTCATCTCTTTCTCACACACTTAGTTGTTTAAAGTCAAGAGTGTTGGGAAGCAGGCAGCTAGAGTAAAGAGTTGAAAAGGGAAAAATAAAACCAAATTTGTACATCAATCATATTTACATTAGAATAATAAAATATTTATAATGTAATGAAAAATGTAGAGGAGGGGAGGTGTAGTAACGGTTTATAAGAGCGGTCCTACAATATGCCCATCATAAGAGAATGTTTTAGAATGATTAGAACTTTTTATACCTCTTTCTTTCTTAGTTTTTAATGCTTGAAGCTTTATTCCTAAATTTCTTTACCGTGTCCCCTATCCTCAAACCTATACCCTATAACTCCGATTGATTTATACCTAAAAGCTGTCATTGTAGATTCTATTTTCTACTTAATAAAATTTTTGACTTTTCCTTCATATTATTTATTATATTTTTCTTACAACTATATATAGCACAATTTATTTCTCTTAACGCCAAATAAATATAAAGGAAACGCAAAAAGCCTAAAATATTCAATATTTTTCTGAATTTTCTATCTGCATCCATTAATAATAAAGAAAAAAAAAACTAAAAGAAGAACTAATCAAAAAAATATGACCGATTCAACAATGACTGCTTCAGCCGAACGTTGTGTTTTGTGTTTAGATCAAAAACGTTCACCGGTGCGTATACACTGTGGTCACTCATTTTGCTATGGCTGTCTGGATGTTTATAAATCCTATAAAAAATATCCCTGGGCTAATAAGTGTCCCATATGCCGAGATGCGTTAAAGGAAAAGAAAACGGTGTGTATTGATAACATAAGATTTTGATGATGTCTTTTTGTGTACAAATTTCACCCAGTAGGATTATTTTGGAGAACAAAATATTAAGGACTTCCATGAACGTTATTTGTGCTACTAACATTGAAAGGACAAGCCCTGAGAAGTCTACGCACTACTCTATTGCTTGTTCTATTTACAAGTTTAGTCTGTAGTCTACTCTATTGACTAGTATATAGATTAATCTATTGACTAGAGTTTGGACTTGTCTATTGACTATATTATGGAGTAGTCTATCGACTATTCTACTTAATACTTTATGGATTAAATTATTAGCAAGTCTATTGAATAATATGTTAACTAGTCTATTAAGTAGTCTATTGTTTAGTCTATAGACCAATCTATTGACTAGACTATTCTATTGAAAAGTCTATGGATTATTCTAATGACTAACCTATGGACTAATCTATTGACTAGTATATAAACTAGCTTATTGATTTGTATATGGACTAGTATTTTTGACTATTCTATGGACTAGTCTAATGACTAGACAATTGACTAGTATTTGGACTAGTCTATTGACTAATATTCTGACTAGTCTATGGACTAGTCTACTGACTAGTCTATTGACTAATCTTATCTTTACTGACAAGTCCACTGACTATTCTATTGACTAGTCTAGTCTCTTGTCTATTGATTAGTCTAGTCTTTTGTCTATTGACTAGTCTAGTCTCTTGTCTATTGACTAGTCTACTGACTAGTCTATTGACTAATCTTCTAACTAGTTTACTGACAAGTCTATTGACTAGTCCACTGAATATTCTATTGACTACCCCATTCTCTTGTCTATTGACGAGTCTACTAACTAGTCTCTAGACCAGTCTATTGACTAGACTATTAACTAGTCTATTGATTAGTTTTTTAACTAGTCTATGGACCAGTCTAATAACTATTCTATTTACTGGTCTATGGACTAACATATTACAAGTCTATTGAGTAGTATATTGACAAATCTATTGAACAGTCTCTTGACTAACTGTGAATCAGTATATTGATTAGTCTATTAAGTAGTCTATTAACTAGTTTTTGGATTAATCTATGTTCTAAACTATTGACTAGACTATCGTCTAATTTATTGACCAAAAAATGGTATAGTCTGTGAGCTAGTCTATTGACAGTTAAAAACTAGTCCATTAGCTGATCAATAGATTTATTAATCTTTGAGTTAAATAGTGAATAAACTAATATATTAGTCTACGGACTAATCTATTGACTATTTCATGGGATATTTTAAGGACTAGAGTATTGACATCTTTATGGACCAGTCTATTTACATGTCTTTTGAATAGTCCATGAAATTATCTATTGACTAGTCTATAGACCTGTGTATTAACTAGTTTATTGCTTAATCTATTGACTAGTCTTTGGTCTGATCTATGAAACGGTATTTTGACTAGCCTAATGACTATTCTATTGACTAGTCTATGTACTAGTTAGTCTATTGACTAATCTATTGACTGGTCTATTAAATAGTGTATCACTTATCTATTGACTAGTCAATTGACTGGTATTTGAACTAGTCTATTGACTAAGCCATTGGCCAGTATATGGACTAAACTATATACTAGTCTATGGACTTGTCTATGAACTAGTGTTTTGCCTAGTCTATCAACTAGTCAATTGTCTGTTCCTTGGAGTAGTCTATAGACTAATCTATTGTCATCTCTATAAGCTAGTCTATAAAAAAGTCTTTTGGCTACTCTATTGACCAGTCTTTTGTTTAGTTTATAGACTATGCTATTAACTATTCTATAGACCAGTGAACTATTCTATTTATGGACTAGGTTATGGACCATTACTCTATCGACCAGTCTTTTGTTTAGTCTATTGACTTTGCTGTTAGCTATTCTATAGACTAGTGAACTATTCTATTTATAGACCAGTTTATTACTTTTCTGTTTTAAAAATTTCGGAAAATTTGATATATTGACTAAACTGCAAACCAGACTGTAGACTAATCAACTAGCCTGTTGATTAGCCTAATATTGACTATGGACTAGTAAATTAATTTGTGTATGAACTGGTCTGTGGACCATTCTGTTGACTAGTCTATGAACTTAATTATGCAGCAGTTTACTGAATATTCTATGACTACTCTGCTCTTAAGTCTATAGACTTAACTATTGATTGATATGTGAACTAGTCTATTGGCCAATCCATCCGATAGTCTTTTGACTAGTTTGTTGATTACTTAGTAATATAGAAAAGTAATGAATCATTGCGTGAGGGTATTCTATTGTCAAAATGTTCTGAAAAGTAAAATAGAACTGCAGTTTCATTACAAATTTTCAACTTTAGTCTAGTTAAATGAAATTTGCTGTCTCGAGGTTCCAAATAGACTTACATTAAGTGTGTATGCTAAGCGGGATATTTTAGGTCAAAGGTCACAAAAATTCGGGTTTTTCTTAAACCTCATCAGCTTGTTATACATCCAAAAAGTTGTGGCTAAACTTTTTGTCTCTGATTCTGATCTCCAAAAGTTTCTATAGGGTTATTGATTTAAGCTGTGAAAAAAATGATTGAGCTTATTTACATAATTCGAGGACTAATTGAAAGCGGGAATATTATTATGATTTGATTGAATAATTTCAATTGGATGGGCGGTGAAAAAACTGTGTGGACTTATTATTAAAGCCATACCCAGTCCTTGTTTCTTATCTTCTTAAAATTCCTACTGGGTATAATTTGTTAAAAAAAGCAGTTTGAATATAATGGAATACAATGGAATTTATACTTCTGCTCTTAAGACTAAACGTAAATATTCCGAAATTACTGCAACACAAGATACAAATTCTACCCTGACGGCCACTCAATCGATTCCCCCCGAACAAATTTGTATTTTGGAAGAATTTATGGCTTTAGCCTCAGACTATGATAATAATGGAGAAAATCCAGATAATACCCGGCAATATATAGATTTGGATGAATATGAAGGTGAAGTCGATACTATTCATGATCTAACCGGAGATGATGATGATAATTACGAGGAAGATGAGCGGACATATTCTGAGAATAATAGTTATGAAGAAGAATTAGATTTCTATACTGATACCGATGATGAGGAGGAAGATGATGATGATGATGATAATTACTACTGTTTTGCCGAAGATGAACCTGGGGTTAGTAGTGAAGAGTTTGTTGGTTTTCAGGAAGCGTCGGGCACTATGACGAGAGATTGCAATAATACTGATATAGATTGGGAGACTGTTATTGGATCGGATGTTATAATTATTGATTAGTTGTGAATTGTTTTCTTAGAGATGTTTTGTGTTAACATAGTTGTATTTTTAAATTGTGAGTTTTAAGTTGATTTTTATTGTAATTTTCTTTTATATTTTGGTTTAATAAATTTTAGAAAAAATTCCCTATAAGATATTAAGTTCTTTTTCATAATATTGTATATTTATACTCATCATCCTTTTAACAAGTAATGATATCCAACTGACATATATGTAACTGCGGGATACTAATCTTGAATAATTCTATCACACATACATTTGTACTTTATGCAAGGGATCTTTTATATTTGCATACATTTTCTCAAAATAAAATTAAAAATTCTGAAAATAAATTATTTTAAATTTCCCATTCCTTTACAGCACTGGTGTTTCTATTTGCTATTGTTAATAGTTTTCATTATATTATGCCTTGGCTCTTCTCTAACCGTAATAGCAGTAATCAAATCCACTGAAAATATTTATCATTACTGAGCAATCTGAGTTTATAACAGTGTGCAGTTTTCATTATACCAGTTAATGAATTGGTAATTGTAAATTAAATTGCCATAACTTTAAATATATTTATAAAACAATGGAATTTAATATAAATATTAATAAAATATAATGAAATATTAAAACTTCATAACACAAAAGAAATTATATGCTTTAACTTAAATGCATTTGTTTACATACAAACTTACATTTGTAATATTTATTTAAATTTATTGTATATAAGCCTAAAACTAGACAATAACTATTGAAGTGTAAAACTTAAAATATGTTGCATTTATCTCAGTAAAAACCCAAAGATAAGAATTAAATATTCAAATATTATACACATTAGTTGTTAGATTCAATATATTATATTATATATTAAACTATTTCTTCATTGAAGCTTAAAAACAAATTCTTTATATTCTCATAACAATATTTTTTTTTTTTTTTTTTTTTTTTTGTTTTTCTCCCTAAACTATGCTATAAAAGGAAATAGAGCAATATCTAAACTTAAACAAAACAATTTGTAAAAGAGTTTCTTACTATCAATATTATCTTTTCTTGGCTGCCTTTTCAAATTTCTTAACAAAATTTTCGAAAATAGGCATTTGAAATTTATTCTGCTGTTTAGCAATTGATAAAAACTTATCAATTTCTTGAAAGCATTTAAAACTCACTCATGCTTGAATTATTGCAAAACAACGCAAAAACAAAAAAAAAATCTTTAATATTAAAATGAAAAAAAAAAGAAAAAAAACAACAACTGTTGTAAATTTTTGTTGAAAATTTAAATACAATATTTTCTTGAGAAATTCTTATAGAAATATTTCTTTCGATTTATCTATTAAAAGGTTTTTCTATGTACGTTATGCAACAAGGTCTTGTGCTGGGCGCATCATACCTTTGAAAACTGTTGCCTACTTATGGGGTTTTGCATATTGGTTGTATGAAAGGGTTGAGGCCGAAAGAAAATATTTATAAAAAAACAAGCATATTGTTCGTTGTTGTAGGAATATTTTTTAAATGCATGTGTAGGAGAATTTATATGAATAATTCTATTCAAGGGAAAAAGGGCTTAAATGGTAAAATTGAAAATAAAAACAAATAATTACTGTGCCGAATCTTATAGATCCTTCACCATAGTGTGTTTTAATTTCGACATCAACAAAACCATTATTTTGAAAACTTCTTGAAAGTATGTTTGATAAAATTATTCAAGATTTGTATACCGAAGTTATACACAGACGAACAGGCAGATGGACGGACATTGCTAAATTGATATATGGATATATAAACACCTCCCTTTGGTGCTTTTGAAAAGAGGTGCTGTAACCAAAGATAATAATTTTACTCGAAGTTTGACCATAGAACCTAACATAACGGTAAAAAGCAGGAGGCAATGCAGACCTGAATTAAAACTGAACTAAACCTGTACTAAAACTGTACTAGAACTGATTTAGAACAGAACTAGAACTGAACTAAAACTGAACTAGAACTGAACTAAAACTGAACTAGAACTGAACTAGAACTGAACTAGAACTGAACTAGAACTGAACTAGAACTGAACTAGAACTGAACTAGAACTGAACTAGAACTGAACTAGAACTGAACTAGAACTGAACTAGAACTGAACTAGAACTGAACTAGAACTGAACTAGAACTGAACTAGAACTGAACTAGATCTGAACTAGAACTTAACTAGAACTGAACTAGAACTGAACTAGAACTGAACTAGAACTGAACTAGAACTGAACTAGAACTGAACTAGAACTGAACTAGAACTGAACTAGAACTGAACAAGAACTGAACTAGAACTGAACTAGAACTGAACTAGAACTGAACTAGAACTGAAATAGAACTGAACTAGAACTGAACTAGAACTGAACTAGAACTGAACTAGAACTGAACTAGAACTGAACTAGAACTGAACTAAAACTGAACTAGAACTGAACTGAACTAGAACTGAACTGAACTAGAACTGAACTGAACTAGAACTGAACTGAACTGAACTGAACTAGAACTGAACTGAACTAGAACTGAAACTGAACTAGAACTGAAGAACTGAACTGAACTAGAACTGAACTGAACTAGAACTGAACTAGAACTGAACTAGAACTGAACTAGAACTGAACTAGAACTGAACTAGAACTGAACTAGAACTGAACTAGAACTGAACTGAACTAGAACTGAACTAGAACTGAACTAGAACTGAACTAGAACTGAACTAGAACTGAACTAGAACTGAACTAGAACTGAACTAGAACTGAACTAGAACTGAACTAGAACTGAACTAGAACTGAACTAGAACTGAACTAGAACTGAACTAGAACTGAACTAGAACTGAACTAGAACTGACTAGAACTGAACTAGAACTGAACTAGAACTGAACTAGAACTGAACTAGAACTGAACTAGAACTGAACTAGAACTGAACTAGAACTGAACTAGAACTGAACTAGAACTGAACTAGAACTGAACTAGAACTGAACTAGAACTGAACTAGAACTGAACTAGAACTGAACTAGAACTGAACTAGAACTGAACTAGAACTGAACTAGAACTGAACTAGAACTGAACTAGAACTGAACTAGAACTGAACTAGAACTGAACTAGAACTGAACTAGAACTGAACTAGAACTGAACTGAACTAGAACTGAACTAGAACTGACTAGAACTGAACTAGAACTGAACTAGAACTGAACTAGAACTGAACTAGAACTGAACTAGAACTGAACTAGAACTAGAACTGAACTAGAACTGAACTAGAACTGAACTAGAACTGAACTAGAACTGAACTAGAACTGAACTAGAACTGAACTAGAACTGAACTAGAACTGAACTAGAACTGAACTAGAACTGAACTAGAACTGAACTAGAACTGAACTAGAACTGAACTAGAACTGAACTAGAACTGAACTAGAACTGAACTAGAACTGAACTAGAACTGAACTAGAACTGAACTAGAACTGAACTAGAACTGAACTAGAACTGAACTAGAACTGAACTAGAACTGAACTAGAACTGAACTAGAACTGAACTAGAACTGAACTAGAACTGAACTAAACTGAACTAGAACTGAACTAGAACTGAACTAGAACTGAACTAGAACTGAACTAGAACTGAACTAGAAACTGAACTAGAACTGAACTAGAACTGAACTAGAACTGAACTAGAACTGAACTAGAACTGAACTAGAACTGAACTAGAACTGAACTAGAACTGAACTAGAACTGAACTAGAACTGAACTAGAACTGAACTAGAACTGAACTAGAACTGAACTAGAACTGAACTAGAACTGAACTAGAACTGAACTAGAACTGAACTAGAACTGAATTAGAACTGAACTAGAACTGAACTAGAACTGAACTAGAACTGAACTAGAACTGAACTAAGAACTGAACTAAAACTGAACTAGAATTGAACTAGAAACTGAACTAGAACTGAACTAGAACTGAACTAGAACTGAACTAGAACTGAACTAGAACTGAACTGAACTGAACTAGAAACTGAACTAGAACTGAACTAGAACTGAACTAGAACTAACTAGAACTGAACTAGAACTGAGCTAGAACTGAACTAGAATTGAACTAGAACTGACTAGAACTGAACTAGAACTGAACTAGAACTGAACTAGAACTGAACTAGAACTGAACTAGAACTGAACTAGAACTGAACTAAAACTGACTAAAACTGAACTAACTGAACTAGAACTAAAACTGAACTAGAACTGAACTAAACTAGAACTGAACTGATTCGGTGTCTGCTATGTAAAACAAATTTCACCTGTGTGTCCTTAAGGGATCAAAAAAAAGGCCGACAAGGTAGGCGTTCACGTACAGTACACGCTTCTCACCGAAGTGAAGGAAATAGTGGTTTATATTCTCCAGACAAACTAACTTTTTGAAGATTAGTTTAAAGTAAAATATGTTTCAAAAATATTATAAATGTACTCATAGGTGTTATAGGGTATTAGATGATAGGACATAACCGACTTTATTTTTCCATTTTGCTATATTTTATAAAAACTTTAAAAAGTGTTTTTATATAGAAAAATCGGTTATGTCCTTTTCAAAATTACTTTTCAGCTGACACTATTAAGTTATATACCTACAAATGCTTGTAGAAGACCTGAAAATTCTCTAATACATATCTCCATAAGTTTTCTATGCACGTTACTATATAGCAATGTAACATAAAATTTTAAGCTATTGACAGGAAAAATTGTAACAGAAAACCTTGAATAGAATACAATATTTAGTATTTGCTCCCACTTTACATATTGCCTTTTTATGGTATTATTGACAACACAAGAGAATCTGTGTCAATATGTTTTAGTTTTGAATAAGAGAAAAAATTTAACATACATATGTTCAAAATTTTGCAAAGAATAATAACAATGTAAAAAAAAAATCTAAACAATTCAATTTGTAACTAAAATGTACAGTTTTATGAAGGCAAAGATATATTGATTTTTATTTTATTCTAATGATTTGAAACTCATAGAAGATTTTATAACATTTTATGCTATTTTTTTTTTTTTTTTTTTTTTTTGTTAGCATAACTTAAAATTTTAATATATACTAAATCTCATCTTAAACGCCTTCCCACTCTAACTATAAATTTCATTTCCGTTTCCGTCAGCTTAA